GGACTTGAGGACCTAAGAGTACCCCCATAATATAGGACTTGAGGACCCAGGGGTACCCGTATAATATAGGACTTGAGAACCCAAGGGTACCCCCATCATATAGGACTTGAGGACCTAAGAGTACCTCTATAATATAGGACTTGAGGACCTAAGGGTATCCCCATAATATACAACATGAGGACCTAAGGGTACCTCCATAGTATAGGACTTGAGGACCTAAGAGTACCCCCATAATATAGGACTTGAGGACCCAGGGGTACCCGTATAATATAGGACTTGAGAACCCAAGGGTACCCCCATCATATAGGACTTGAGGACCTAAGGGTACCTCTATAATATAGGACTTAAGGACCCAAGGGTACCCCCATAATATAGGACTTGAGGACCTAAGGGTACCCCTATAGTATAGGACTTGAGGACCTAAGGGTACCCCCATAATATAGGACATGAGGACCCAAGGGTACCCCCATAGTATAGGACTTGAGGACCTAAGAGTGCCCCAATAATATAGGACTTGAGGGCCCAGGAGTACCCCCATAATATAGGAGTTGAGAACCCAAGGGTACCCCTATAGGATCTCAAAATTTGGGAAAGACAACCTTTGCGTGATGATGGAAGTGAGTTGGAGTTACCCGTTACCGTTACCAAGTAACGCAGAGTTACCGTTACCCGGTAACTAGTAACGCAAAAGTTACTAGTTACCAAGTAACTAGTAACGCAAGAGTTACTAGTTACCAAGTAACTAGTAACGCAAAAGTTACTAGTTACCAGGTAACTAGTAACGGAAAAGTTACTAGTTACCTGGTAACGTAACGCATCGGTAACGGTAACTTCCCTCCCCTAGGAAAACCACCTCATTTTTTGTTTGGAAATCTCATACATATGGGTTTCTTCCGCGGAATTTCACCAGCTACTACTAGTTTGACAATGCAAGCTGAATTTGGTGATGTCTATCAGTATTGGATTGGACCCTTGCGAATGATTGCTGTATGTAATGTCGAAGATATACAACATATCTTTGCTCATCGACACATTTATGAACAAAGTCCTGGACAAAGAGATCGATTCAGTGTTATCCTTCCAGATGCACTCCTATCCATTACAGGTTAATAATAGATGATGATATAATTAGATACTTTGATTATGCGTAAATATTTTCTGCTTAACTTCATAAAAAAAAGTATATTTCGAATGACAAGAATTAGGGGCAACTAGATTGATTCTCGTTAGAGGAAACTTTTCACTAGTGTCAGTAACTTCGTGAGAATTTTAAATGATTATAACACCCTTTCATAAATGGTTTATTTAGATAGAAATTAAGAAAAAATGCTCACAGATACCAATTCAAAAACATGTACTCAAACTTACTCTTTACAGATCATTTTATTCAAGATTTAAACAGTCGTGAGTTCTTGCGATGACTTTACATAGATAAATTATTCCCAAACAATAACTAATTCTCTGTACTTTCGACATTTTGAAATTTTCGATACGAAACACTAATTCGCATAATGTTATTGGTTTTTATTATAGGAGCCAAATATAAGCGTCATGCAACTATTATTCTTCCTCTATTTCGTGGCGCTAAAGTTGTGAGTAATTTGCATGTGATCTATGATTGTACAGACAAGTTGCTTGATGTATGGCGGTCGAAAGCAGATGATCCTAACTATATTCATCTTGATGTAGTCAAAGATTGTCAAAATTTATTACTAGAGATATTTGGTTTTATTGGTTTTGATTATGATCTACAAATGTTAGGAGATGATGATAGTGCCAAAAATAATAGACTCACAAAGTCTTTAAAAGACTTTTTGGACATTCTTTTTTTTGCACTACTCTTGCCATCGACACTCGCCAAAATCTATTTGAAACTTAATTCTCGAGATTGTCAAGCAATGAATGTTTTCCGGGAGTATGCTGATCGTATTATTGAGCAAGAGAAAAACAAAGGATCACAATCAATTCTTGAACGAAAAAGAAAATGTCTTATTGCGTCACTTGTTGGTTCATGGCAACAAGATGAAAAGATTGAAACAACATTGCCAGAAGAAAAACAACGAGGTAAATCGATATTTAAAAGCTTTTCCAATCATACTATTTTTGTTTCTGTATTCTATATTCTTTTTTAGGACTATCTTTCAACGAAATACTTTCAGAAATACTACTTTTTCTTGTGGCCGGTTCCGAAACGACATCGACCGCATTGTCATGGTTTATTCATTTCATGAGTAAAAATCCACGTGTACAAGCAAAAATCAAAGCCGAACTAGGCGACAATCGACAACATGGTCTGTCCATCGAGCAGCTTGATTCTCTTGAATACTTAAATTGTGTTATTCAAGAAGTGCTTCGGTTTGCTCCACCTGCCATTAACACAGTGCGCAGAGTCATTAGCGATGACCGATTACCAGCCAGTGGAGCTCATTTATATAAAGGCGATGACGTAGCAATTAATATTTTTAATTTAACTCGAGATAAACGCTACTGGAAGATTGATCCAGATTTGTTCTATCCTGAACGATTTCAATGTGAAGATAAAGATCATCATCCATATGCATTGATTCCATTCGGTGGTGGTCATCGACAATGTATCGGACAAGATCTAGCTCGATTAGAGTTGAAAGCAATCGCAGCCAGATTAATGCAGCTTGTCACTTTCGGTGATGGTGGCCCAGAAGTTAATGCAGGTGGACACAGTCTGAAGCTTACCATCATGCCTAAGAAAGTTGGTGTCACCATAACTTTCGATTAATATTCAACAGTCTTCAGAAATTTATAGAGCAATATGTGAACAACAATTTTATCATATCATCTAATATTTTGCACAAAGCTTAAATCCGCATTTTACTATTTATCGTTTCAAATAAATAGCTTTTCTCTATTATGTCGAACGGTTATGAAAGAAAGCGCATCAGCTTATAAATAGATCCACAAGTGAGGGATATGGTGAGTTTCGAATGTAAGATTCCAGATTCTAGTTCTGACTCTTGAGGATGAATCTATGTATAAATGCGCGTAGGTGTAGGTGTTCTCTTCGATTCTCTCCCCAAAGAGATACAATTTTTTTAGCATAAAAGACGTTGAAAACTTTGTAGCTTATTAAATACTTATTCGCTAGTTATTTCAGATCAGATGTTGGCAAATGTCTTCATGAATAACGATTTAATACAAAGCACTATTTAATGATTTGCAACACTAGCAAATAAATAGTCATTGTTATTACAATAAGGGTCAACTATTTATTTAATTTTATTTATCGTTTTCGAGCAAGAGGAAAGAATGAAAAATAAAAATATCTTCATGGTCGGTAGCCATTTATTCTGCAATACTGTATAAAGATATTCGGCACTGATTGATAAATCTTTATAACTGTTCAAATAGGTAGTAGCGATTTGTTTATGTTGAATGTTTTGATGAGCAGCCATTGCCAATAATGCATTAGTTGAAGATGTTCAGTATTATATAAAGTATTTTGATAACTATTAGAATCAGATAGTACCATTTATTATGAGTATATTTCGTTTGTTAGACGCTTCTAGATTTAGACGTTGGTTATGTTGTACAGCATATCGTATTTACTTTGATCGAGTTAGGATGAAGTCATAAGATTTAATTCTCATCAAACATAGCTGCTAAACAATTTGAATAGCTAGTTGAATAAAGTAGCCACGATAATGTAGTTAAAGTGTCATATTTTATACAGTTGTGGAGATTTACTCAAACAAGGGAATGTTTATTTTAAAAGTCGTCCTTTTCAGAAGTTATGCTTCTCTTATCTCACACCCACATCCACCAACACACTCAATGTTTTTCTTGAAACAACATGATATACTTCACCGTTGGTATGATATTGTTTTCTGATTGGTTGGACGAATGGACAAACATTTTTGTGTTTTAGACTCTTTCAGAAAAGGGAGTTTGGGACAATTTAACATGTGGTTATCATAATTTTCTTTCACATCAATTCATTGCAATAAGATAAAAAAGTAGACGCATTTTTTATATATAAATTTGATTTACACTGTTCTTTGTTAATAGTCCTTTGGATTTAGAGCATTAATTGATTCTTCTTTGTTATTCTCAACATTTTCGATTTTGAGGAATAAATAATGCTTCAAATTCACACGGTTATATTTACGGTTATGGTTGCGATCACGCTTAGTGATCCTGTGAAAAGTCTTCTTAGAGACATCGAGTTCAGTAATAGTGCATCAATCAAATCATCATCATTGAATATCCTACTAATAGATGTTCCAGTGTTCAAAATACCATCACGTACAATTACTATTAATGGAACTGAATTTGGTAATTCAATAATGAATGTAGGACCAACTCAAACCAGAGAAGATGTCATATATGCACAGTTTTTAGCCGGAAATATTCCTGAATTTATGAGAAATGCTATTTCTGTCACAGTAACAGCTGGAAATAATACACTAATATATTGGGTTCTTCCTGATGTTCTTGCCGTAGGTACAAATGCAGATTATTTAAGAACGCCACTCAATCCATTAACGGCAAGGAAAGTTGCAGACTTATTTGGCTGTGTTTTACCAACAAGAAAAATGGCACATCAAATTTGGCAAACAGCCACAGTTAAATTAACTCCGAGTCCAAACGGTCCGCCATACGATGCGACTATGATGTCAACAGAAAGAATGATGTTTCATAATAAAAAAATTCAAACTGCACTTGGTAGTAAAGTTCCAGGTGAGCTCGTAGCTGGTCACAAAAAAGACGTAGTTATTTCTGTTGGACTATTAACTCATCCAAAGAATGTAGCTATTGTGGGATGGTGGTATCCATCGGGACAAATAATTCAACCATTAAATTATTTATCACATGATCGTTATTATAAAGATTATAGCCATGGCATACGACTAATTAATCGGATTGTATCAGTAAATGGACAATGGTATGATATATATGAAGTATTACGCAATAATACACTTGCAAATTTAATAAGTGACGAAGGTCCATTTGATGCAACACAAATGTATACATAAAGATATTACGATGAGATGCTGCAAACTTTGGAAACTAAATGTTACATTTTCTTTCGATAAAAAAAAAGTTTGAAATAAGTGGAATTATCCGATTGATTGCTGCATCTACTATTTGTGTTTATTCTCGTCTTTATCATTGTTTGAGATTATGAAAAATATCGCAAAAGAAAATGAAAAAATAATTAGCCAATATAGGCAGTGAGATCAAGACGAATACTTTTTATGAAAGTTCTCAAGAACGTAAAAAGCACTTAAAAGTGTTCGTAGTCTTCTTACCTGTCACTATATATAGTGAAACGGACACTTAAATAACGCCTACTTCAATAAAAATGCCTATGCTCCAAACGGTTCAACGATAAAAATCATAGTAGTAGCAAAAACAAGTGACTTATGAGCTAAATTCAGTCAAAGAATAGATGAAAAACGTAGTACATGTACTGAAAATCATCGGATATGTGTTAAATATTTTGTTATCAAGAGCTATTCTGAAGACAGTGAAATTATTCATGATTATTGCGTTCTAAGTTTTTTTCAAAACAACAGAAAAAGCTAGTCAGCACGAGCCTTAAAGAGATCAATAATAACTCAAATCGAATGCGTTCATGAATTTACCTACTTAGAATATTTTAAATTCATCGTTTAGATCTATTTTCAATTAGAAAAGATTCGATAAAGTCATTAAATTTGAAAGAAATAATATTCGAGAACAGAAGATTTATATGTAATGAAACAGAAAATGAATTACAAACATCAATATAAACAAATATTTCATAAAAAAATTTCATTTGACAAGTGTTCAATACAAGTACTTACATTTATTTGGATTATCATGTATTATATCTGTCTTTCTTATTGATTTGACGAAAACATGCAATATACAATGAAAGTTTGTTTGTTTATGACTACGTTTATTTATTTGTTATAATTGAGAAAAACAAAAACAGAATGTTTTGATTTTATAAAGACTTTTTTCTTTGATAAATAAAAATCTTTTTTTTTAATTTATTGAGCCAGATTAAGTATTTAAAGGCTGTCATCCAGTTTTAATTTAATAGTATCTTTTTTTTTCTTCAATACTGTTACTTGTATTTTTGGTATACTAGTTATTGTTTCATCACCAGAATTATCGTTTTCATCATCAGCAATATCAATATGTAATGGTTCATTTTCATCATCCAAATATTGTTGTAATTTTTCAAAGCGTTTGCGTCGATTCATCCAACCAGAAAAAATTGAACCACTACTAGTATCATTATTTTTTACATCATTGACGGATGCATTCAAACGATGAAATTTACCTATAAGAATAAGCATTATTTTGAAAATATTTTTTTTGAAAAGAAAAAGTTTTCCTACGCTTATTTTTTTTTCGAATAATACATCCAATAATCACAGAAGCAAAAACAAGAATGACAAACGTCGTAGCCATTATAATTAAGAAAATACGAAAGTTTTTATCACTGAAATAGATTAATATATTAGATATTTGTGTCCGAAGATCTAATAAACAGAAAAATAAATTGAAAATTAAAACAAATAAATCTTTTTTCTTTTACTTTCTTGTTTATTTGATTTAAATTTATGTAAAGGTTTATTAGGTGATGATACTAATTCACTAACATAAATTTCACGAGCATTTGTTGATACAGTTATATCTTGTGGAGCAATTAAATGCTTTTAGAAAAAAAACAGTAAATCATTGATTTCATTTGCCTAACATGAATTATTAATAAACTTACTGAACTTGACTCAAATGATGTTAATATCTCTCCATTTTGTGCATTAATCATATAAATTTTTTTATTCAATGTTTGTTCTCCACCAGTAACAGCAAATAAAATTGTTCCTAAATTTAAATCATATAAAACATTTTATTTAAATTTTTTATTTGCTTTCATCGATATCAAACCTTTAGTATTTGGTGCAAATTCAATAGCATAAATTGCACAAATGTTTTCTTTTTCTTCAATATGTATTTGTCGTTGAAATACTCCTGTATTTGAATTAAAACATTGAATACGAAAATTTTCTCGATCAACACCACATAATAATTGTGCATCTTCATTCAATGCTAGTGAATGAACAATATTCCATTCATTAGGTAATGGAGAACTATCACCTATAAAAGATTTAATAGATTAAAAAGTAAATAAATTTTAATCAAGCATTTCCATAGAATATCATACAGAAAACATACATATTTGATCATAATATTGAAAAAAGAAAACTTACTATCAAACTTTCCTGACATTGATGAACCCCATTCCATGAGATATTCTCCTTTACGATTAAATTTAATTATACGACTATTGCAATAGCTATAAAAACAAAAAAAAAAAAATTGTTAATTTCTATTTTTTTTTCTACATAGTATTTACCCATCGGCAACAAAAAAATCTCCATTTTTCATAACAGCAACATCGGCTGGTCGACAAAATTGATTTCGTCCTGAACCAGATTTAAACATTTCTCCAACAACCAATGCTGGATGATTTAAATCATTTGGTTTAAACATAAACACTTGATGCATAGCAATATCAGTTAACCAAAAATTTCCTTCATGATCTATTGTTAATCCATTTGGCATATAGAATTTTTTAGTACCCCATCGAAATTTTATTTTTCCTGTACATGTATCAATATGAACAAGAACATCATCTTCAATTGGACCATAATCTTCATTACGAAAAATATTTCCACTAAAATATCTATTGTAAGAAATTAAACAAAAACAAAGAAATTAATCTTTTGAATAAAATTATAATATTACTTGAATTCCCATTTTCGAGATCCACGATGAAATACAATAAGTTCATTGTTTGCATTATTTAATGCAATGCCACCTATTTCACCAAGTTGAGCTGACAATGATTGAACATCAGTCCAATTTTCGACATTTTCATATAAATTAGCTAAAATTAAAAAGACAATCGTATTTAATTTTTGAATGTTTTTTTTTTTAAATTAATCAAAATTTCATCATACAAAATAAAGAAACAAAACAGACGAGACATGCAAATGACAATATCAATGCTCATATCTAATTACTTTTGCATTGTGCAATTTTACTATTTGTCTTTTCCAATATGTTAAGTAATTTAGTAATAAATAATCCTAATTTTATTCATATTTTGATAAACTAAGATGTTATAAGATTGTGTTTACGTTAAAATTGTTTGTTCTTTGGTTACGATGATACGTATTTTTGACTTCATCAAGAAAATCTTTATAGAATCGATCATTATTTGCTAATTATATTTTAATATTTATCTATTTATTGGAAAAAGAAATTATAAGATTAAAATTACCTGTGAATGAATTCATTGTATGTTCAACATGAACATGATGAACATCATCTACTCCGCCAATATAAATCGGTTTAAGTGGAGGAATTTCACTGTCTGGAGGAATGAGCCTAAAACAAAAAAAATAATATTCATTTTCGAATTGAAATACATAATTAGAACTGTTCAAATATGAATATAATACAAAGATAAATATATAAATAGAGAAGCTCTTTTTTTCTTACAAATCAGTGTAATTATTATATTGAAGTTTCATAACCGTATTCTCAAAGGTTTTAAAATGATTACTGTAACGTGTTTTGCTAACGCGAAAACCACCTGAAGTGATACGTCACGTTTGAGATAAAACTTTAGTCATTTCATAAGGTCTATTGAGACTAGAAGAAATCTAGAAATATTCTTCCCAATATGCTGCACTGTTGGATTTATAGCCGTTACACTGGATTTTTTACCTGTGATACGGTATTTATATTAAAAAACCGAACAAACTAATTTTGAGTCTCGAGATATCAAATCCACGAAAAAAAAACAGATTTTCCGTCTTTTTGATAGAATACTACGGTTTCTTGTAGATTTGATATGTTGTGGAGAGACCATTTATTTGACTAAAGTCGTAGGCTTAAATTCATTTGTCTGCCTTTGTTTTATAAATATCGTGTCAAAGGTAAAAAGTCTAATGTAATGGTCATAGTTTCAAAAGAACAGCGTATGCAGAAGAACCTTTCTAGATTTCTTCTAGCCTCAATAGGCCTTTGTAATGATTAAGATCTCATCTCAAACGTGAGAATCATCTCGGTTCATTCTCTCGTAAGTATTAACATGACTCTGTATGTGTCTAGTAGAAATAACAGTTTTTTTCAATCGTATTTTTAAAAAGCATATCCAAATAACCGAAACTTGAGAACGAAATGCTCTGAAAAATCAAAGTTCGTTAGATCAAATCCGATTCTTTTTTATCAAATACGAGAAAAGCTAAGTTTTCAAGTTTCATCAATTCAAAAAACAGAACTATTTTCGATAATTTAATACTCGTCACTTCGAATAGAAGGGAATTGGTACATGCTAACGACAATTCTTTTTTATTTAAATCTCTACTCAGTTGAATCAGTTTTAAATAGTTTACCTTGCTATTTCACTGACTTTATTACCCCAACATGTTTGAATTGGAGGTGAGTCACGTATTGTTCCATTACTTGCTGTTTTTGGTGGTTCATATGAATACATTGCGTATACGTTACACATTTCATTGGTATGTGTTTTTCTAATATTTCAATAAATATTGTTTTATAAATACAGAATGTCGAAAAGTCATAATCACTTAACAAATACATAAAACTTCAAAACAAGAGACTCGTAAGTTTTTATTATTCCAAAATAAGTTCATTAATACTTTAGAAAATGTAGCACGTTTGACTACAATACAAAAAATAAGGGTTTCTTCGATACCATCAATGATATAGACAGTTTTTTTTCTCATATTTCCATCATTATTATGGATATCATGTCATTCAAATCCTCTAGAGTGACTTCAACAAACACTTCTTCTGATATACTCTTACGAAAAAAAGAAACAAAAATATCATTTTTAATGATAGATGAATTATAATGTAGCCAACATACTCGTTTTGAAGAACGTCACCAATAGCTCGATTTTTTAAAAATATGTCAAATAGTCTATAGTAACAATACAAATTCGAGTAAACGTCAAACAAAACTCTAATTGTTTGTGTTACAATAAAAAGTGCTACAGATTCTCCACAATGCTCATAGACTTAATCTTTAAGAATAAACAAAATAACGCATCACTTGTTTTAAATCAAAAGCAAATTGTGGATTAAATTTGATCAGTAGTTGTACTATATGTATCTGTTAAGTGATTATGATTTTTTTCGACATTCTATATATTCTAGTGAAAAAGTAAAAACTTACCCTACAGTAATAACTCGATCATCATTATTATCATAAACACATTGACCCATAATATAATCATTATTTCGAATTTCAAAAGCTGATGGAAGTGGATAGAATGCTTGAGACCACTTCGGATCACCTTTGATAATTAGTGAAACTTCACCGTCACGGACTCGATAGAACGAATTAACTCGCCCTATAATAAAATACACAAATATGAACAAAAATCTATGTTAGAAAACGAAAAATACAAACCCCATCGATGAGTATGCACATGAACAGCAAAAATAGATATGGGTGATCCATGGTATTGACACGAAAAAGGAGCTCGAATAGCTAAAGAAAGATGGAAGATATACATTTGATGTACTTTTAATTAAATTAATGAAGAATGAATAATTTTCTTCATTTCACTTACTATGAGTTTTTGGTTCCAGACGAATAAAATGTGTACCACCGAGTGCAATAGCTGCATGATATTTACGTCTAGAATATAAAGCATCATTTTATGATAAAAGAACGTTTTATATATTATTGAATAAAAAATGATTTACGGTTTTCGAGTCATAAGTAATTGAGTTCCAGAATAATCATTTTTCAAAATTGAAAGATAATGAAGATTAATAACAATATATTTGTATGGAGTATTACGGCCAACAGCTATACCAACATCTAAATATAAAATATACATTATTTCTTGTTTTGCTTATGTTAATAAAATCAAAATACCTTTGGGTAGTGTCCATAGGGGCGCATTTCGACCCCAATCATGTATAATCTTTTGCTGACCCTTGCATGCTCCGCCTGCAGTCCTACATTAATAAATCACTCTAAAAAAAACTCAAAAGAAAAAAAAAGACAAAAACAAACCAGTATGGTTGATCGGTATATGGTCGTGAACAAGCAAATGAAAGTATATGATGAACTGAATTCATAGTGATCAACGGTAAAAAACCAACTAAAATTGAAAATTATTCATTATTTTGAAAGAAAAGAAAACACTATTAACTTACCAATTAATAATTCTTCATCGGGTAGTTCATATTGAATGTATACATATTCGTCTTCCTAAAAAAAAAAGGAAAATGAATGTTTAAATTTACACATGAAAATAATAATTTTTTTTTTTTTTGAGTATATATAAACCTTTTTTGTATTATAATTGTTCACAGTAATATTAACAGTAAAGAGATCATCTTCATTTGAGGTGCTGATCGAATAACCACAATTGATAATAATAGCAAGGATAATAATAACACTAAGGATATTGATTGATGCAAAACGAAAATTATTCATTTTACCAATTGTTTTCGTTTGTTCAATAGAAAGAGAAACTTAAAATCATCGATAAATGCCATTATTATATGTATTTTTCACATTTTAGTTTACTTACGTACACTTTGGACTTCAGTCACAGTATTCAAGAGAAACAACCTGAAGACAGAACTGAAAAATAAAATGTTACAATCTGAAATAAATCGAAACAAATTATGAATATTGATCTCAGATAGATAAGTAATAAACAAAGAAATTTTTCGTATGCATCAATAATCATATTACTGAAATTATTCATCATTAATTGAATAAACAACATTCAAGCGAAGTAGACTCATCACACATTTGTAATAATAATCAAGAATCAGATTCGGAGTTGTTATTTTAGTAATCTTTCTTCTGGAAGAGATTTGAGATGGTTGTTGTGTAATAATGTGTGCTCATGTTTGATGATTATTTGTAGAAGAAGTGGATGAATCAGTTAAGCGAGCAGATAAGAAAAGTGAATAAAAAAACATCACTTTCAATAGATGGTACAATATTAGATCTAAGTATTGACTGCTAAGAATAATTAGATTAATGATAGTGATGAGAACAACTGACTATAAGCGAAGATGTTTACATTGTTGATGAGTTTACTGTTCGAAGATAAATTGTATTCGATGAAGATGTCCATGAATTATTTAGTATTGTTTAGATTATTAATAGCTACTGATAACTGTCGCTAAGTTGATAGTTGTGGTAATAAATTAATAATTGGATCATTTGTTGATTTTAACTATATTTTATTTGAACATGTTAAAATAAATCAATATTTTTTATTTTCTTATTACTATTTGATAAAGATGATTCATTAAGATCAAAATCCTAACGTGTTAAAACATCTTAAATGAAATAATAATGAACTACTAAAATATTTTATAATTATAAAAAATAATTTACATTGCATGGAATATTCTCTTGTTGTTATGACGGCATGTTTGACTTTGTTTGTGACCTGAATAACACAAATCACAATCATAGTAAATGTATTATTATTCAAATTCTTTATCATTATATATACACATAGGATTTCTTATTAGATAGAAAACAAGAACAAAGATATGTAAATATGCTTATAGACGTTTGAGACGTTTCAAACAGAAATTACTTTAATTACAATCATCACAACTAACACACTAATAAGTTGGCATACTCAAAATAAATAGTGAAGTGAAAAACAACGTTCTATTGTCATGCATCAGTAGATTGCATATAAAATGAGATAAAATTATTATCATAATACTTGGAGAACATCAACCAATCAGAAAATAACCCTTTGACGATGATATATTTCTTTATCTATCCAGCAAAATAAATCATTATGAAAATAAAAGGTTTCATAAAATTAGTATTTTATCAATCAGTCTACATAAGCAACGATCATTTCATAGGGAATGTGCTGAAGTTAATATATGTGATAGGAGCAAGAATTTCATGAGTTTTGACACAAGCCGTTTTGAATAATATTGAACCCTCAATTTTTTTAAACGTTGTACCAAAAGTCCGAAAAATGAACGTATTAACCGAGGAGATCTTGGTGGAATCATATCTCAAGAATAGCTTTACCGATTGAACTGAAATTATTTGTAGACATATAACTTTACCAGTTCTACTCAAGGTAAAATTTTCATCTTAGAATATTAAGCTGCTAACTTTTTATAATTCATCTAATATGGACAAAAATGCACAATTTAGACAATTTTAGAGCTTCAAATTTCATCAGTAGAAGAAGATAGAAGTCTGAAATTTTCATCAAAACTAGAATTCATAGGGTTCTTTTCTTTCGACCAGTAGGACACTTCCAAAACATGCGATGATTTGTGGACTAATCTTTTGAAGTCAGAAGTATTATGTGTGGTTTGTATCGTTATAGGAGAATCAGCCTGAGATATCTAGTTACGGCTTTCTGGGTCCAAATGAGGCCGTTATTGGGCTAGGAAATCCTACACTATAGAGATTGCTCTAGTAATTGTTTTAGGTCAATAATTTAAGGTTAGTCTACCAAAAACTAACGACACTCTTAAAAGTGTCTGATAGTATTTGCACTTGCCTTTTTTTAGTACGAAATTCCTACACTGCAACTCATTCTTTACTTAAAGTCCCCGTTCGATAGTGAAGGTAAGACAGTCACAGCAATATTCACCAAGACGAATACCATATCATTGCAAGTTTTTGACTTGAAAACCCTGAATTTCCGGATATTAGAAAAATTTATTTTCGATTTCGAAATGGAGACATAGCCCATTTGAATAAACATCCTCGAAAAGTTAATCTTCCGTATTTTCACATAATAGAACGTAATAGAAGTGTTGTAGAGTCGAACTTTGAACGAATGGAATTTCTCGAAGTGCTACCAATGCGGATTTATTTTGGCTATAGAAATGATTCTCTCACTGCTTCCTTTCAATATATTTAGTTGGTCTAAAAACCATGCTAAATACATAAATCAAACCACAGATCTAGATCATTTCAATCGTTTAGGTGATAAATGGCGATGTTTTTTTCATTGTCATCACGATTTGATCGATGATAACGATGCTCTCTACAAAATTAAATTGGATGATCATTTAAGTAAAACGCCACATGTTGTGGAACTGATAAGTCAGATCATACATTAGGAACTAAGTAAACAAAAATGATTACTCGTGGAGCATAAAAGTAAAGAGAATAGTCAACAAAAGGAAAACAACGTAACGGAAACCATGTATTTTAACTATGAATAGATTATTAATCATTGCAAAATACTTATGGAATTTTTGAAATACTTGTATATTTTGTTTTTTCTATATGTTCATCATCTAAAAAAATGCCGTTCACTACTATAAAATCCTATCTTCATGTCTTCGATAGATCATTTTTGCTGCGCACTTATTGGGTATTGAACAAAATATCTAGAGAACACTACAAATGTTAAACCTGCATATCATACATAGTTTTCTCAAATAATGAATTTAGAGAAAAAAGCATGAATGTAGAGTTTTGGGGCTATAAATGTAGAAAGAATATTAAAAAACTAGCGAACTTTTTCTAGTTAGACATAGCTAACTTTTCAAGTTAGATGAAAACTTTTTCATAAAATATATTTTTACTATTTTGTACAGAATCAAAATTATGCAACCTAACAAAAATCAATCGCCATAAATTCATGGTTTGTATTAGTTTTTATCCTTGTTGAGCTACTCGACCTCAATAAATAGATAAAATAGAATATTTTAAATACGGCGGTTTTTTTCAGTTTTTTGATCATCAATGTTCTTGTATATTGAATAGAAGTTTCTCTAGCTTATTGCAGTATAATCCTTGTGAACATTTATCAAATAATCGCCGTCTATTTTCTTCATAATGCGTATGCATTGCTCACAAGTCGATATTGAATAACTTTTCTATAGAGCCTTCAAATGACCAAAAAGTTCTGGTTTCACGGTTTCAAATGATGATCTATCGTACTAAATCAAGTGATATCTAACATTGATCATTACAAGAGTCAGAATGAGACAGTCTCATGTATCTAACTTTTAGATTATATTTTCAAAAGAATAGAAAACCATATCATTGTTGCTTTACCATGAAGTACGCCAACGCTCTGATGAGAGCAATTGATATTTTATGCATTAACAACAATAAGAGATCTGCTTATGTCGAAATACTATTTGTCTATTGATTTATATTTTAAATATACGACTGATCAATCAAATTTCACAATGTCATGAACTTGTATACCATGAAACGCTGGTGAAAACAGGCCATCGACAAGGCTCCGGTCATAGGCGGCGGACCCATTAGGCTTGGGGAGGCTCAAGCCTCCCCTAAAAAACGGAGAAGAAGGCTTAGAGAGGCTCATTTAATTTGAAAAAAGTTGGAGATCTCATCTTTAATGAAGACACAATTGGGAAATTTTCGATCGACTGTTCTTGAATACTTAGTCTATTGCTCATGAAGATCAACAAAATGATTAAAAAAACTGCTAAAAGAGGCAAATACGACGCAGAATCTTTATTGGTGACAAGTATCGAATGAATTTTTAAAATCTATTTTAGGGTGATCATAAGATGACGCTCATATACATTCCTCATTTTCGAAATAGTATTTAGTCTGTTTCTATTAGCGGATCGTTTATAAAGAGAAAGAGGAATAGTCAAGGTATCCACCAAATTCATGGTGACGACGTCTACTTTGGCGATCATTTAAATTTCAAACTATTTCGTCTTTGATTGTATTAACGATTTTGAAATTTGAAAAGAATAATAATATTTTGTAACATTCAATGTGAATGTCGAGTAAACAATATCAAATTACGTCTATTTTTCAAAATAAAAAGCAAAAAACAGATGCACTTGCTGATACTCATACAGATAGTTTGAATATTTCATCTATTGATTTAGTTGATCATGCGGAAAGTGTAAACTTATCTAAAGAATTTTTGTCAATAGAACCAACAGAAGCTTCATCTGTCATCACAACTGAAAATAAAACACAACTGAAATGTAATCTTCTTTGTTGTATATCTGACACTCGTTATATTCCTGAAAAACAATCACATTTTAAATCGACAAGTGACAAACGTAGCTGCCAGTTAGGCTGGTTCACTAAATATAATTGGCTTTCCTACTGTAAGGTAATAAAATAGCATCTCCTGATTTTAAGCCCTCAACTCCTACTCAGAGAGATCATGTATGACACAACAGCGTTGAAATCATGTAATTATACCTAACATTCATAAAGAGAGATTAGATGAACTAGACTTAAATAGTATCTGCTCTACATTTATTTTAAACAATCAAAGTAGAAAATGTTTTTTGGTCGTATTTAGTGTTTTTTATCTGTGTGTTTCATTTTCTGTATTCTCCTGAAATTTGTTTTAGAATTTTTATGTTCTTATTTATCATTTTCTGAAAAATAAATATTACAGTAATATTTTTCATTATTTTACAAGTTTTGAGGAAACTAGAGTCAGAAGTAAATTGTCAACAGACCACCTA